CGGTTCATTTAACTGACCTTATTTTGGTAGTTTTCTTTAACCGTTTCTGGTCCATCAAAAAGTCTCATTCATCGTCCTCCGGTGCACTGAAACTGTCGAAATCCTCCTCTTCAGTGTCGGGAGTTAAACAAGCTGCGTCACACAGCGGTACCTGTTCAGTTTCTGTGTTGCTGTCCTCCCGGGCTGGCTCTGAAGCTGTGGTGCCCGCTTCATGTAGCAGTCCAGCCTTTCGGAACCCATTTGTGATGGTGGACTCGTTCACTCTGCTCCACGCTGTTGGGATCCACTGGCAGACATCAGGAAATGTCGCTCTTCGCATTCGGCCAGTTTTTGTGAATGATTTATCCCCGTCAGTCAGCTTCTGGGAAAGCCCTCCTTCTCCAGCATACGTCACTGCGTGGGATTCCTTCCCCGGGGAGTGCAATGCCGAAAAAAAAAAGTCAGCAGCTCTTCACTCCATGTTTATCCACAAACTGGTCTTGGATTAAGCTCCAAAGTTGTTATCAGTCAGATTCCACCGTGAAAAATGTCTGTTTTATCCCCTTTTATGAGTTTTTGGCCATTGACTATCTTAAAATTGCTGCTTCCTGGTCAACAGTCGGCTCTGGAAAGATTGCTTTTTTCTTTTTTTTTTTTCTTCTTTTTTTGAAGCAAGTGGTTGAAGAAAATGGAGCATAAGAGCCCCCTGGTGGCTGAAGAAAAAAATCCATGTATAAGCCGCACCGGACTATAAGCCGCACCGGACTAAAAGCCGCATGGTTCAAAGTTCAGGAAAAAAGTCGCGGCTTATAGTCTGAAAAATACGATAATAGTTTTGCATAAAGCAAACTCAATTTAGCTATTCCGGTCACTATAATAGTGTATAATCTTCCTAATCTACATTTACATTGAAGTTTTCTAACAGGCATTTCTTCAGAAATTATTCTCTTATCTGTCATTCTTTAAATTTATTTTGAAATTACCATTCTTCTCTGCCGCAGTACGAAGAAATCTCTTCATGCAATGTTTGGTGACATTTCGAAGCTTGGGGATTACCGATGAGATCACTCCAGACCAATAAAAATCAAGTTTTCAAACTGGCACTCTCATAAACAAAACTAGCTTAGTGATAACCAGGTGATGAATCACCAAATGTCAACAAGCTACGTATCAATTTGAAGCATATAAAACTTTGAAAATATTAACTTACCGTAATATTGGAAAAATTCCTGATTTGCAAGCACGGGTCACATTTTTTGCCATGAGACATTTCAGCACTTAAATACTGTATATCTCTGATCTTTCCTGGTTTCTTTCTCAAGTTGTCTGACTGCAGTAGGTCATTAGTTGTTTTTCTACATAACTAAACAGACACTTTTTTCTTTTTTGATATATCAAAGGGCTTCTTTAAGATGAAAGCTTAGCAACTTCTCATGAAAAATGAACGTCTATAAAGAGATCTTGTGTTTCTTCTGTAGAACCTGTGGTTTGCCAACCCTGGGGGCAGTAACAGCATGCCAAGTCAGAGTCGCAGCTCAGTGCAGCGAACCCACTCACTTCCTGTCCACACATCCCCACAAACCATGCTCTTGTTCCAGCAACAAGGTATTCTTCGAGTGTGAACATATATTTTATTACCATCCATTCATGTACTCACCCACAGGCTGTCTTTGATTTTGTTTAAATGTGACTATGCCATATATCTTTAGTAACTTGTGACTTTTCCTGTTCAGTCAGTGCATTTTGTGGTATCTTCATGCTTTTTTACTGTGTTCTTACATTTTGACTTAAAATGTTTTTAGTAAATTTTACTTTTTAGCAAGTAAAATGTACCTTTTTCAAAACTAAACTGACAGGTGTTCAAAGAATTAATCATGTGGATATACTGGATTTAACTCAGGCCTGAAATATTTTGCATGCCGTGTTTATGTGAAGTTCAACCCAGCCACTTTGATGGATTACTGCAGAGCTGAGATGAGCCAAGTGTGTAAATGGAAGTAGCTAACATTGCAAAGGTTAAAAGAAAACAAAATAAATTTTGCTCATGCATTTTTGTTTTGGGTGTGATACGACCCTAAACTCTGGCTGACAAAAGGAATTCATGAGCATAAAAAAGTACAATACACCTTGTGTATATTGATATGAAATTTATTGAAGATCTGATGTGATGACAGAACTATCTGATGCATTCAGAGCACAAACTGTAATTAATTAATGAACATTGTAAAAGTCTTTTTTTTTTTCTTTTAGGTTTTAATTTTAAGTAAAGCATATATTGATTTTGTCTTAAATTAATTTGTAATAATTCCCAGTTTTAACTAGAACTGAGTCTTTTCTTGTTTTCTTAAGAATGCCAAGTTCCAGGTGCTGACCTGGAGATCAACCCCACACTGGAGTCACTGTGCCTCAGTATGACAGAGCATGCCTTAGGGGGTAAGTGTCTCCAACAGCACCTAAGCTAACCTCACACAACTCTGCCTTTCCAGAACACAACCCTGCTCTATGTTATCAAGGATTCTATGAGAAAAATGACAAATTATGCAAACAGACAAAGTCACAGCCACTGCTATTGTTTATACTTTATTAGATATATTTTTGAATTAATGTTTAATATTGCTCAATCAATACAGTATTCTTCAGACCATTGTTGATTTCCAGATTGAGTTTTCTAGATTAAATGGTCAAGATTTCTAGGTTTTTTTTTTTTTGCACAGATTTCTGTCGTTTTTTTCTGTATTTATCCTATATGTTAAAAAACAGCATTTTTGAGGAGCACTTCTGAAGCACAGTGTACTGTTCATATTCTAGCGTACATTAGCTTAATCTAACAAGGTTGAGATTGTAAACCGTAGAACCTTTTTTGGAGAACTTGTTCTAATAGAAAATTATAATTGTTTTTATTCCTGGTCTTCTGCATTTAATGATACTGACAATGACATGGGTGTCACTGTGTGTTTTGGACTTTTTGGTACTTCAGTAATGACTAATGCTGAACTGGTACTGGTTTAGTGCCTTTTCTCAATTCTTGTCCTTAAATATAATACTTAAAGTGATTATATAGGGGGAAAACCACCTGTAAACAATGTGCTTTGTTTAATTTGGCTTAATTTTCTACATGTCTGATATTTAACTTAGAAATCAAATGTTATGTAGCTAACACAGATTATTTTTTTTAATATTGATTAACCCTTTGGCTTTTAGTGTATTTTATTTAGATTTTTCATTTTAGTTTAGAGCAACAAAAAAATGAATAAAAAGGAAAAAAAATCTTAACAAAAATGCATTATGTGAAATTCAAATCGTGCAACATTCTAGTTGTCTGATTGTGTTTTTCTTTTCTCTCAGATGGAACAGACCGGACATCAACGATATGAAAAGAAGAAAGGAAAACCATTGGATTGAGGCCTGTTCAGCACAAAGATATATGTATGCTTAAAATAAACAAGGCTAAGCAGTCACTACAATATGACAAAAAACTGTATATGTTCTCTAATATTTTTGTACTTTATTATATACAACTAAGTTTATTAAAAATGGATTACAGATGATTATTATATTGTAGAACAGAGAAAAAGGTTAACTGTATCAACTGTGCAATGTCACCTGCAGGACTGTGGCATGATGTGCAGCAGCTCAGTTTACCACCAGTGGATCGGTGCTGTGTTTAAGGGTTCTGCCCTGAATTACTCTTCTTTTCCCACTGCCTTGGAACAAGGCTTTCTATTCTATCCAAAAGAAAACTGACAGTTACAGCCCCCTACACCACACAATTTCTAGATAGAAAAATTTCCAGTCAGAAGAAAGGCACTTTTCTTTATCTTTTATATTATTAGGCACTAAACTGTAATAGATCCCATGGTACACATTCTAAAGTTTCACCTGTAGACACCTGTTCACTTCTCTGACTCTGCTAATCCAACAGACAGGGCCAGTCAGGGATTGTGTTTCTTGAAACCTTGGATGTTTTTTTTTCCTTTCTTTCTTTTCTTTTTTTTGTCCAATATGCGAAAAATATGTTTTTTTTTTTTTTACACAAACTGTTTCTCAATCAAAAGGTTTGAGGAAAAGTTTGTAATCCAACTGTAGGATACCTTTTGTTTTGGTTGTTTTCCTTGATCACATGGTCAAGGAAAAAAAGTGACTGTCCTCTGAACGTCTACAAAGCCAAAGACAAGGGTTGTGTGATGATTAATTTGAGAAAGATATTTGTAGTGAGTTGCAGCAGAATGGTATAATAAAAAATAGAAAAAAGAAAAAAAAAACAGCAGTGTGAAAAAAAATATGCCGGCTGCAATTTGTTTCTCTTATTTTTATGCCCAACAACGTAAATGATGATGAATCTCATTTTGTGCCAAGGAATCCCAAAGGGGGTGGGGGTCAGTAAGGGCTGGTGAGGTTTGTACTGTGTGAGAGCTGATTTGATATTGAATTGATAAACGCGAAGAGGCTAGTGTTTTCAATTTACAAGTCCAATGCTGGGTGAGGATGCTAAACGAAACCCATCTCAAGCCTCCGACTCCCCCATGATTGGCTTTGCAAAATGAAACGTGATCCTGTAACAAATGCTCGAAGCACAGCGCCTCACCCTCACGGTGCCCTCGTCCTCAACTGGCCGACATGATGATTTGATGAATCATACTTTTCAAGGTGCTTGACGATGTCCATATATTTCTGTTTGTGTCTCCGTGTGTTTCGGTCTCAGAGCTCTAACATTATCACGTGGTATCAGTGTTGAATCAAAAGCTGTCCTATGGAGCCTCTGTCTTTGAATGTGGCAGAGCCGGAGGTGCATGTTTGTGTGATATAGTCTTAACTTTCGGATCACTTTTGGTTGCTCAATAAGGCAGGGATAACCATTCATTCATTCTTTCAGCAGAGCCATAGGAGGTCTGTCTAGTAAAAGATGGTTATTTACAGATATCTTTTCCAATTGTATTTTTTACTCTCCCTTGATATTGATAACTTATGCTTATTTTCTATAACCGCATGTTTTGCCACACTAATACAGCACTGTTGCAGATAGAGGACATGATGGCTGATGGTGCCTGGTGTCACCTACAGCTAGAGAGCAGTCATCTTGCAACAAATGTTGTATGTTTATAACGCCTAAATGTCACTGTTTACATCTCTGGGAAAATGCCCAATTCATATTATGTGATGTCATGAGTAATCCATTGTCTCACTATGTAACTCATAAAAGAACTGAAGCCTTTTCACACGTGGGGCGGCTGGGTAGAGCCTGAAAAACAAAAGCCCTCTGCCTCCCTAATCTGTGGACTCCATATGAGTCTCAGTAGATTTTACAGATTACATCTGATGTGATCAGAAAGAAAAGCTTCTCTGGCCTTGTGATTAAACTGTTGGCTGTCATGTCCTGATAAACTGTTCATGTGGTGCCTGAAGTGCTAAATTCCAACATTTGCATTGTGTTTATTTTAACAGTGGTTGCATTCTAGTCATGGATTTCTTCAGAGCAGGCTCTTGGATAGATCTGACTTAGTAAAAGCATCCCACTCGCATCTAGAGACAAACTCCAAAGTGTTTTTGTTTTGTTTTTTTAAATTTACCACAATACTGTTCATCAACTGTGTTACAAATGGCTCAGATTATCCTTTTCACAGCCTCTGTTGCTTTGGACAGCTTATATATTTCTTCAAAGAGACACAGAGGTACAATATAGAATTCTGCAAGTGATGATGCAGCAGGGGATGATGATGCTTATCTGAGCCACAAATTATGTGATGAGTAAACTGAACACTAATAACAGGCCAAGGAATATGTTTACTCCCTGTTTACATTCCAGTGATGCAAGAAATGAGTTGGGAAATGCACCTCAAAAGTTCAGACTGGTGTATATAAGCATACTGAGCATCTACTTGGAGATACAGAGCCTGTGTCATATGGAGACATCTACCAAGTGTTCCTGAAGTCCTTTTGCAGGCCCTAAGGAGCATGTAATTGTTGAAATATTGCAGCCAATCTTAGATTACACTGCACACATTTTCTCTTGTACAATTTCTATTTAATTCTAATAACTTCCCCAGACATTTTCTAATATTTTATGAACCTTTTGCATCACATGCTTATGCTATACTTTTTTACTGTCACTCATATGTGTGAATGGTCTGAAATGCAACATCTGTCGGATCATTGACAGTCCAAATAAAGAGGTTCAGTTCTTTTGCAATTTTTCCTCTTGTGGTTTGTTTGTGTCTATTTAATTATTTTAACAATAAACACGCCGTTAAGTTATTAATAGTGCTACTACTACTAATAAAAATCGATCATTATTTAATTGTTCGCTTTTATAGTGAAAATCCAACATGAACTTTTCACTTCCGGGTCACAGGAATTTTATTTTTTCCGATGCCAGACAGTTCAACGAGCTAATGGTAGTTAGCCGCCTGGGCGTCAACGCCAGTAGTTTATTAAGAAGGAAGTCAAAGCTGTTTCATGTGAAAACTTTGCCAAAGCTGCTTAAGGTATGTTATAGATATATGTTAATGGCGTGAAAGTTAAATATAAGTATTTATGCAAGCATTTTCTTTTGAAGCAAAGCGTATTTTAAGTTAGCTGAAAGCTAACTATATTGCTAGCTTAGTTTTTGCACAAGAAATCAGTTCACAAAGATGCTGACGACAAAATTAACTTCTGTGTTTTGCTTTAGTTTGAGAGTTAAGTTAGCAATTGCTCAGGAGCATTTTATTTATTTCCAACATTCAACTACACAGCCAATGTTTGTGTTGGTTGCAGAGAAAAAGTTTGCCAATTTCTCATTCCGTTTGGGCAATAACACTGATTAGCCAGAATGTTGATGGGACACGATATTAGCGTTATGTGGGGGTGGGGTGGGGTACTTATTATTTGCTGTAGGCGCAAAAACGTAGCGACAACAATCTATGTTTTGTGATCGATCCTCACAAGTTTCTCTCGGATTTAACCTACAATTTAAAGCAACAATGACAGCATTGCCCTACGAAAATACAAATTTCTTATGTGGATCGCTGAAAAAGTTGTTCTAGTTGGACAAAATACTGTCATTTGTATTTGGAAAACTATTAATTCTATCGGATTATTGCTGTTTAGTGTTTTATAATATAAATAGATATATCAAAGAGAACACTTAATTTAGCATGCATATCAAAAACCTAAAATTTGTGTTAGATGTCAGCAATTAATCTGGCAATCTAAAATACAACTATTTGCTCCTTTTATGATTTATATAGATGAAAAGTCCCTATAATCATACGAACATGGGTTTTTAAGTTTGGCCAGTTGTCTCACTTAAAATTTAATGTCACACAAGTTAAGAATTAATTATTTTAAATGAACATTCTGTAAATGTAAAATAATTAGGATTATATAATCCCAATTATGTGATTTGTTGCCATCCAATTTTGTTTGAATCTCTTATTGTCACTGGAACATGGCATGATATGGCTCAGATAGAAAACATTCCAGAGACTGTTTTGAAAAATATTACTCTATATCACAGTGCTTCCTTTAATGTATGTGCTTGTTAGTGTACCATATAGATTGATTTGATTTATTCATTTAACAGGAAAAGATTATTAAAAATCAAGCCTGACTCAGCATAATTGCTGTTTTACAGCAGGTTCCTGTTCTGCAGCACATAAAACACTCAGAATTACAGCATCACAATCACATCATTATTATTACACCATAGACAAAGACAAACAAGCATACCAAATTTCAAAAAGGCAGCATTTGCAAAATAGGACATCTAAATATGAGCACTACAAAAAGTGTCCAGCAGATGGCAGACAAGATTCTTCTTAAAGGGCTGTAGTTTTGAAATGGTCTTTATGTTTTGAGGAATGTCATTCCATGCTTTAGTATAAACACAGAAGAAAGACCTCTGGCCGTAACAGTTTTTAAAAGTTGGTAATATCAGTTGTCCTTTTGTAACAGATCTAGTTGAATGACCACTTCCAGAATTTGATTTGGGCAGCAATGCACAGAGAGTTCCATAATTGGCACCTTGGAAGATCTGAAAATATAAATTAATACCACTATACAAAACATAATTCTGAAAAGTCAAGGCATCAGACAATGAAAGAACTGTACAGTGATGAGTCCAACCAGGAAGTTTTTTATGAATTTTGTAGGCCCTGTTGTAGAGCCTAACTATGGGTTCTAAGATTTCATTTGTTGTAAGAGATCAAACAGGTAAACAGTACAACATGGTTGAGAGTATAATGGCATGGAGATAGATATTTGAAACAGAAGATGTCAGATTGGATCTAATTTTTGAATAAACRTATAATTTCTGTTTCAACTTAGTGGTTAAGACTTGTACATGATCACAATAAGTCAAATGAGAATCCAAAGTAATTCCAAGATATTTGTAGGTAGTGACAATATCAAGGGGTTTGTTTWAAAAAGTGAGTTGATTTGTTATATTGAAATGTCTCCTGGGTGAGGAAAAATACATTCACATAGTTTTTTTTTTTTACATTAATTGACAAAAGATTATAACTGACTATTAATAGATTCAATATTGAAATCAGACAAAAAACGAACAGTATCATCAGCATACAATATTGGAATACTTCAATATTTTTGGAAGGTCATTTATGTATAGTAGGAAAAGCAATGGGCCCAGTATGCTACCCTGTGGAACTCCCACAGAACAGGGCAGAGACCCGGACACAGAGCTTCCATGTTTCACAACCTGACACCTATCAGTCAAATAAGAGGAAAACATTTGTATTGCAGATGATGAAAGTTGAAAAGAAATCAACTTTTGTAAGAGAGTATAATGATCAACTGTGACAAACGCTTTACGAAAATCAATATATACAGCACCAGTTACTTGACCTTTGTTCAAAGCAGCACGTATTTGTTCAGTGAATAAAATTAATGCAGACATGGTTGACCTTGACATGTGGAAACCATGTTGGCTATTGCTTAGCATATTATTAGCTTCTAGATGCTGAAGTAGTTGATTAAATAATGTTTTTTCAAGTAACTTAGAAAAAATAGGAAGAACAGAAATTGGCCGATAGTTTGAAATTTCTGTTGGATCACCAGATTTAAAAATAGGAGTAATCTGAGCAAACTTMCAGGCATCAGGGAAAATAGACTGCACAATACATAAATTAAGCAAATGATGAAACAATGGTAAAGAAGTGTTGGCATGCATTTTCAAGATGTGAGCTTAGCTATTTCAGTTGCATCAAACTCAAAAGACAACATGCAGTAAATTAGCAATAAGTATGCAGTTAAATATAGACCACAAACAGCATTTTTATTTTTATTTTTTAATTTTGTTGCAGGTTTTTGAACATCTATATTTCATCAAAGCTTGGACCATGTGAATATTTGAACCAACCGATGTGGGTGGAAAACTTTTCAAGAAATTATTGCGACAATAAGGCATCCCCACCTGATTCTCTGAAGTGTTTCAGCTATTCTTCACACAATTTAACATGTCGTTACCAAACGAGTCAGGAAACAGAGGGAAAGATCGAGAGAGGGGTGCCCGTCCAAAGGTGAGACAAAGCCGGTCAGAGGAGAGAAGAGATGCGGGTGGTGGTCGAAAAAACGGAAAAGTGAAGAAAAAAGGTGTTTGCTTACATGAAACGGCAGCCGAGCGGCCTGTCAGTGATGGTTTTGAGTATGGTGAGCTGCTGAGTGAACTGGAGGCCAGGAGCCAAAACACCTCATCCCCTCTGAAGGAGAGCTGGAGATGGCAGGGCTTGGACGTTGCGGGATCATTATTAGGGCAAGGGGTTACAGCCAAGGCAAGTTTGGTAACGGTTAGCTCTGCCACAGACTTACCTGCTCTCAATGAAACAGATGGCAGAGGGTCAAGCGCCAGCCGCTCTTTAAGGCAAAAAATTCAAGATGCAATGGGTCAGTGTTTTCCAATAAAGACGCACAGTGCAGCAGCATCGGCTCCACCCCAACAGACTTTTTCCTCGTCAGCTTCCTGTGCCCCTTCCTCCTCTTCCTCCTCCTCCAGACGGAAGATCCATCTCAGTGAGTTGATGCTGGATGACTGCCCTTTCCCTGTTGGATCAGAACTGGCTCAGAAATGGTATCTCATTAAGCAACACACAGCCCCCATTACCCAGTCTCCCCTGTTAGATTCTGCAGTAGTCTGCAGTGCCCCGACTTCAGCAATGGCGGCATCAGTGGAAGACGTGGACGACAAGCTACGAGAGCGCAGGCGCATCAGCATCGAGCAAGGTGTCGAGCCACCACCTAATGCCGAGATTCACACGTTTGAGGTGACCGCCCAAATTAACCCTCTCTACAAGCATGGTCCGAAGCTGGCACACGGGATGAATGAATTAGCAGAAACTGACAGAACCTCTGTCCATCAGCAGCAGCAGCTTCTTCTCCAAAGACAGGAGCAGCACCAGCTTTTACTACAGAGCTGTTTGGACACTCTTGATGAGGTTGTAGCCTCGGCATCTGCCTCTGTTCGCGCTGCTGATATGAGCTCTGAGTCTTTGGTTGACCCAGAAGAGAAAACGACCAATCTGACCTCAAGAGCCCTACGTCCTGAGACTGAGATTCAAAAAGCTCACGAAGGCTATCGTATTCACACTCAGATCGATTACATTCACTGTTTAGTCCCAGATCTGCTGCAGATCACCAACCTCCCGTGTTACTGGGGAGTCATGGACCGCTACGAGGCAGAGACCCTGCTGGAGGGGAAGCCTGAGGGGACCTTCCTGCTGCGTGACTCTGCCCAGGAAGACTACCTCTTCTCCGTTAGCTTCCGCCGCTACGGCCGCTCGCTGCACGCGCGCATCGAGCAGTGGAACCACAACTTCAGCTTCGACGTTCACGACCCCAGCGTCTTCCACGCGCCCACGGTCACGGGCCTGTTGGAGCACTACAAGGACCCCAACTCCTGTATGTTTTTTGAGCCTCTTCTGTCCAACCCCATCCACCGCACACACCCTTTTAGCTTGCAGCACGTCTGCAGGGCAGTCATCAGCAGCTGCACCACTTACGATGGCATCAACATGCTCCCCATTCCGAACGCTTTGAAAAAACACTTGAAAGAATACCACTATAAACAGAGAGTGCGCGTACGGCGGATGGATACGTGGTGGGAATGAAAATAAAACGACACCACCAAATGCATTTTTAGGCTTTCATGTAGACTATTAGGCTGTATCAACTTACACTACCACACTGCTGTACTTTTTGTATTTATTTTATTCTCACTGTATGTTATAACAATTGTATTCACCACACTGATAAGGCAATATTTAATCTCAATGTTCTATCAAAAGTTCCCTGAGCTTAGAATAAACAAAGTGTTTTACATATGTGCTGTTCACAAGGCTATGTCTCATTTGTTCTTTCAAGTGTGACTAAATGAGCTTAATTGTCTAATGAGGGTGTTATGAATCAAGATGATTATAATAGAACTGTTCCTCGGTCACATGCTGAGCCGCTGAAACGCATCCTTGCAAAGGCTGTTGCTGAGGTGTTGAAGTGAAGCATGATTGCAGCATTATTTATTGTTTGCTACATCGAGTCTGACTCTGATCATTGGGTTTGAAATTTAGGCCCATACACTATCTAGTCTCTTCAGATTCAGAGGGTTTGTGGTACATTGTAGCCAGCGTTTGTGTTTTTATTAGTTTGGGGGTGGGGGTTGTGGTAAAATTGCAGGAAAGAAATATTAACTGGTCTCAAGATTAAATGTTATGTAGGTATTTGGATAATACACCTTGATTGTGTACTTTTAATATTGTCAGTTTCACTGTGTCTACATCTATTTGTCACTAGTGAAACCAGATGTAGGCAGAGGTAAAACATACAATGCAATACTCCACATCAGCTATATTAGTCTTAAAAATACGGTAGTCTACAAGTAACCTTAGATGGTCATAATTCTGCAGCATTTCAGCTGCTTTGCTTTCAGCCCACGTCACAGACCCATCTGCAGGTTCCCCTATGAGGTTAAACTGCATGCAGCCTGTGCCAACTGTCTTCATTAATGTTAAAATAGAGGATCAAATGTGGCCTTTACGAACTTGTCACCAGTGATGCAGCTGTATTATCAGAATGCTAAGTCTGACTGCCGAGCTGCCTAGTTTCATTAGTTTCAAGGTTTGGTCTTTTTTTTCCTTCTGCATCTAATTATAATGTGAAGACCCAAATCCTTATAGGAAAAAAAAAGGGCTTTAGCGATACTCCCTGCTGTTCGACAGTGGTAGGGTGTCTCCACTCTAATCTCCCGTTCCCGTTTAATGACAAAAGATTATAATGAACCTGCTCCGGTAAATCTCTGGAAATGAAAGGAAGATGAACACGTTTTGATGACAGAGAAGTCATCAGAGAGACGAGCTCCAACTTTTTTATGCTGAGCAAATTCAAAGACACTAAAGATGTGTTTTAATTACTAAAATGTGCCCTCTAAAAGAATTCTACCTCAAAACTGAAAATAAGACATCTTCTTATGCAACTTAGCAAGAGATCAAAGGTTTCTGTGTTTTCTCTGTGTCAGAAGCTTTCATAGAAAAACAAGAAGGCATTTTTGCATCTTTTTACTGTTCCAATGGTTTATTACAAAGTTTAATCAGTTAGTTGAGTCGTGTTGCTGTCTGTGTAGAACATCTTGTTTGGCTGATAAAAGCACAACTGCTAACTTCAGTCTGCAGGCTCACAAAAGACTGATGTTGATGAAAAAGCACGGAGAACAGGGCCTCGGTCATCTCCTGTGATGCTGTTTTCTCCTTGAGATGGCTGATTTGATACGCAGGATGTAAATCGTCCGTGACCAGCGCCCATCCAATAGAGAAGCAGCTATAATTTAAACAGCAGTTCTGAGGCACCATTAAAGTCTGCATTCAAAATGCAAAGTCAGGACCTGCGGCCTTTGTATTCTTAATTAAGTCGCAATAAAAGCTCAACTATAAAAATCAGATTTACAGTGATGGAAGACGTTTGACCTGCCGTGCATGCACAAGTGGGCTTTACTCAGAGCCTTCTAAACAAGCAAATCCAGCATCTTGACAGCTCAAGGCTTTTACCTTGTCTTTTTCAAAACCACAGCTCTGCAGACTGATCATATCAGAAGAAGAAAAAAAGTACATTTCATGTTTAGACCTACAACAGCAAACTCATGATAATGGAGGGAAATGTTTGTAGAAAGTGGTAGATAATGGGAAGCGGAAGCCTTTAAAGCGCCTTTGACACAATAGATTTGTTAAATTTATATGAAAATAATTCAACAGTAGCGGCTCAGAAATCCAGTTATGTTAAGCAAAGCAACACATACCAATGCCTTTAAAAAAATGCTGTTTCTAAAAGTGTTGTATTATTGTCAGCACAGCAGGGGGCTCTAAAGAGCTTCAGTGAGTTCTAGTGGCTGCTGTGGATTCTCTGTGTGGGGGGCATTATGGTGGGATTGAGTTCGGCTGCCACAGCCACCAGCATTGTGGCTCTCATCATGCAGGTATTACATGTCCTGCGGGGTGGGTGCAACCCCCTTTTTTTATTTTTCCCCTGGATTCAGTGGCCCAGAGGGACAAGATGCTCAAGCAATGCAGAAAGCTGATTGGCTACGCATACTTACCATGCTCCCTCCCCCTCCCCCCCTTCTATCAGGGGAAAAGACTTCCCTTTGAGCCTAATCTCTACAGTTGAAAATCACAAAGGTGGATAATAAGATTTGACTGTTCATAACACCTGAGGACAAATACTTTGCCTAATACCGTAATCTGCCAGTCATAATCTATGAAATGTCTTTAGAAAAGGCTCGACATGGCCTGGATTTGGCGTATTTGTGGCTGAAAACTTACACAGCCTCTCAATCTACTTAGTAGGTCTGAGCTTTTTATTTTATTTTTTATTTGTGTGTGTGTGTTATATAGACCCTCATAGTGAACCCAATGAGATGTGTATCTGGGCCATTAATTCTGTGGAGAGTGCATATAACCAGAAATGTTTCTTCATATCCAATCAGACAGGAGGAACCTATTTCTGTGAAAGAGGAAACACTGGAGATGGGGTGGGCGTGGGAGGGGCGGCGGCGGCGGTGGTGGGTATTTTTGTCTGCAAATGAATCCAGCTGAATTACAACTTTGTACATGAAGCAGAGTTTTTTTTTGCCAACTTTCAGTCACTTTTTTTTCCCCAGATGAATCACTTCCTGTTGGAACTAAGTAAGAAGTATAATTTTCTGAGATATCAGTTTGTGAAAGTCTCACAACCTCCCTCAGGAGGTACACAATCACACAGTGGCACTGTAACTACTGATGTTTGTTTTCCTCGAAGCAAGCTTTTTGACAGCACGCCATTTCCTTTCCCACCTATTTTAAATCCACTCCAGTTTCTCTCGGGCATGTTGGAGCTCACGCTCGGCCCCTGCAACATCAGTATTCTAATTTGAAGCTGTTTGTGATCCTACTGCTCAATCTCCTGCTGACTATCTTCACTCTCCTCTACATTGGTAGTCTAAAAGAGACGGGAGGGATATTCTCCAAGTCAGCCAGCAAATACAACACAAGTCAACAGTTTTTGAGAAGTACCGTAAGTGTCATTGTCCATTTTGTACCTATGAAATCTTCAGGTAAAAAAAGAGGGAAAAAAGGGTCCACTGTTGTGTGATTGTTTAAAAAGCAATTTGCAAGTAAACACATTATATAATTTGAAAATTAAATGAAGTTGTAATGTGTATCATAATGTGTTTGTTCAAACAGACTGTAATGGATATGCACATGGCACAGATATAATTATAGATAAGCATTGTTTGTTTTGAGAAGAATGGTTAATCGTAATGAGGCTTCACAGTTCCATGCATCACTGTTGAAAGGTTCGGGGGAAAAAATAAATTGCATAAATGATACATTACCTTATGTAACACCTGCTCTGTTACTAATTAGGCTACTGCTGCACTGACCTGGAAGGGGTTTCTCTCACCTTTCAGGTCAAATACAGATTTTTGAGTGTGATTTTTTCCCCCTTTTACCATACATTGGATGAGTTACGGGAGACATATGTTTTTAAATCCTTATTTTTCACATGAGGTCTATATAAAGTAGAACTGCAATGGTTTGGTTTGAATTCAACCTTATTGTAACTCCACAAGCCCCTCTTTCAGCTCATTTTGAAGCTTTCTCTTTAAAACCAAACGAGGCGCTTCACATCCCGCTCCTTCCAGCTTCTGAAGTGGTTCAGTTTGATAGTGGGGCCAACAAATATGTAGCAGCGCAGAAACTTTTTAATTACATGTTAATTAAATGATGTCAACAAAGGAAGACTTGTCCATCCAGCTTTACATGTTGGAGCCAGAGTCTGACCCAGAACCAGAAGAGAATGAAGACGACAAAACTGTGGTTGGTAAGTCACAATTGCTTTGATGTAATAGTTCAGAAAACGTCATAGAAAATAAAGAAAAGTGAACAGATTGAAAAAATATGACCTAAACAGAAGATAAAGGTATCTGTGCAGCACCGGGAGAAACTAAATTAAACTTTTCTGCACTCCTCCCAAGTATATAACAAAATGAATTTAATGACTAAAAAATTGGATTTAGCATATATGTTCCTTTTAAAATAGCTGTTGAATGAGGTCACACATTAATGTGGACTCAAAGGCATTCACAATAAATAAGATGCATAGTTTTGCAAAAGCATAGTAGATGCTTTGAAAAAGAGGCAATAAAACATGCCTGTTTATGTAAAAAAAGACATTTCTTATTTCTCACAAGGTAAAAATGTGTTGTTTTTTGTTTTGTTTTTTGGGAGGAGCTGTTGTAATGCAGCATGACTGCTTTGCCTTTGCTTTCAGATTCTGTTTTGTGCAGGTTAACATCCTCAGTGGGGAACATAAACTGTATGTTTGTGGCATTTTCAATATAGTAAACCCAGATAACACCCAGTGACAGGTCTTGGTCTTTTCAGATAAAAAAAAAAAGAAAATTACAAAACAGAATTTACCTGAGCAATGTGGGTCCCCTGACTGCAGATAAAACTGGCAGTTTTTTTGTCAAAAACAACAAGACTTTCATTAAGTTTAGATGGCAATGTGCACATCAGGCAACCACTTCAATATTTTGTCCATTTTAATTTGATCCATAGAATAAAATTTAAATGAAGGATTTAGAAAAAAGGCATACTTTTCCATTTTGCTAGGTTTACTCATCCATGGTAAGTACACGCACCTGTTCCACTCTGGTATGGACTATGTTAATAACGCTGTGGAAAATGTAAATGATAAGAACCAAAAAGGATTTGTTATGCCTGACTTGAGGTGGTTTAAACCATACCACCCTTATGAGGCTCAACATTTTGTGATGATGAATGCAATAAAACTA